CCTGAAACCCAAAGAGGTTAAATAATTTTTCTAAGATATCAAAGCAGCTCAAACCCCACTCTTTTTTTTTTTTTTTTGTGATAGAGCAGAGAGCATAAAACAGGGGGCCAGCAGTTCTTGGCTGAAGACCCCAAGACAATCTTCTCTGTATCTTGATTGAAAATTATCAGGAAGTAAATCACAAAGAGAATTCAATGCAAATGAAGCCAAGCTCTTTCTATGGAAAACCTTCTGCTTGACTCCGGAAGGAGGGGTTCACAAATGCAAGAATTTGGTTTACCCTTAACTACTAACTTTCATGCCTCAGGGTGAACTCTAGCTCAGGAAGTAACACTCTGATTTCCAGATTCTAAGCTCTTAAAGATAATGCATTATTTTCGTTAGCAAGGATTTTGCTCAAGTTTCGGTAGGAACTATGTGCTATCTTTATCCTAACAAATTAATAAATAATGTTTACCTGTGGTCCAGCAAGGATGCTACTGAGGATCCAGGCCAGGCTGATCATGGACTGTCTAAACTTACTATAGCTTTTCACAGATATGGGCCTTGTGATGGCAAGGGACCGGTCCAGGCTGATCACTACCATCATAAAGGCTGGGGCATACATAGAGAAAAGCTTCAGATAGCTGAGGACTTTGCAGAGGAACTCCCCAGCATACCATTGGACTGTAATGTTCCACATTCCATCCAGTGGCATGACAATTAGAGTCTCCAACAGGTTGGCTAAGGTCAGATGTTTTAAAAGTACCTTCATTCTTGAGAGCTTTTTGCCTTTTTCTTTCCTTTGAGTCCACTTTTGAAGTTTCAGCAGGAAAGAAGCATTAAATATTGTGGAAAGTAGAAAAAGGAAGAAAGTAACTGTCACTCGGATTTTTCCGGATAAGGTCAAGGTGGGGAGGTTGCCTTGCATCAGTGCAATGCTGTTGTTGATGGCTGAGCAGTGATTTTGATTCTGTTCAGGAGAGACACTGTTTGCCATACTTCCCTTTTGATGAGAGCTGCAGGACTTGTGTTTCCGGTACTTCAGATTTTATTGTAATCAAGCATAGAGTCTAGTTTTATTTGTGCCCTTGTTGAAGATAAACGTCACAGGTTTAGATTTATGTTAAATTTTGTCTCTGAGACACTTTGGACTTAACATAAAAGATCAAGGTGAACTTGCTTTGAGGATTTATAAGCTGGAATGCTAAAACAGGTCATGCCAAAAACATTTTGAGGGTCAAATGTAACTGTAGCTCCTCGGCAGATGGCCTTGTTTCCACAATATTTTCCTTAAGTGAAGAACACTTGAAGCCCAATTAACTAATGACACTTCCTAAATTAATATAATGAAGATTTTTTGCTATAAACTCTTCTGTTAGTAGTATGTCAGACATATTCAAAATAAGAATAAAAAACATTTAAAGTATTTAATTCATTTGAAATATTATTTTTAAGAAATGTATACATATCAAAAACATTTGTTTTCTTTTTTAGACACATATTAAATCTTTAAATACTAGACAAATATTTTCCACATAAAAGCTTTCTTTATAAATTGTAAATGTTAACATTTTAAAAGTGAAAGTCAATTTGCTGTTTTACAAAGTGGATTAGATTAAAATTAACTAATAAATAAAAATGATTAAATTATTCATGCTCAATTTAGAGTAAAAATGACTATTCCTTTAGACTATAGCTCCTATATACCCTTCAAAAACGGATCTAAACCCACTCCTGAGATCACCTTTAAATCAAACAATAAATAGTCCTATAAAGTGGACAGTAATACTCAAGAGGAACATGCTCCTCAGAGCAATCAACCTGATTAGATCAAAATGGCAGCATTTCCCCAATAACAAAGAAGGCAATAAATAAAGGCCAGCTGGAAACAGGGAACACAGGAGGGGCTTGAAAAGAGTGTTGGTATATTGAAGTAACTTCTTTGATTATTGTTTTAATTTTATAATTATCTAAATATTGCACCTGTTATTTTTGTATCTTTTTTATGTGGTAACTAAGTATTTGAAAGAATACTATATAAATATTGTGAGAGTGTTTACATGCATTGATATGATATGATGATATATGTGAATGGGTTGTATTAGCTTATCTACATGGGGCTTGGCTAACTACCATTTCACAAAGATATTGACCAGTCTTAACAATCTACCAGGGGATAGGCTAGCCTCACCAATAAATTGAGCAACTGTAGCAGCAGAGACAGATTTTCTGGCACAATGTAGGACGCCCTTCGTGCTCCAGCTAGACCTGTGGCAGCATCACCTATGACTGAGCTGGAGACCTGATATTGAGGAGAGGAGAGCCAATACTGGTAGGACTGAGAGCTCTATTGGACAGCTACAGGCAGGAAGCCAATTTTGGCGGGACTGAGAACTTGGGAACACAAGCCTGAAAGTCAAGAGGCTTCAGGCTGAGGTAGCTGCATGCATATTTTGGGAACTATCTTGACTGTATTCTGTTATTAAACTGGACAATAACATTTTTACTTCACCAATATGCTTCTGTGTGGTCTGTGAGCTATTACATTGAATTTTGCTTTTACAACAAAGCAGTAAGTTTGGTATTGAGATGAGTAGAAAGAGATATGTTCACTCAATGGCCTCCGTCTAAGTATGGGTTTCTCATGCATATAATTAAGTGTTCTGGGATTCCCATTCTTCTTAATATTAACCATAACTTGCTATAATCCACACAGTCAAATGCCTTTGCATAGTCAATAAAGCGTAAATAGACATTCTTCTGCTATTCTTTACTTTCAGCTAGGTATTTCACTGCCAACACAATGGTATGTGATCGAAATCCACCAGCTGCTTTAAAGAAGAAAAATGGGCAGTTTCCTCCTGTGTGATTTACTGACTCTGAAAACCCAATGGAGAGTCAGTGATAGTTTGGTTTCCTCTTGATGGTACACAACAACAAGAACAACAGCTTCTCTTGGGGAGAAAGATGAGTAGACTCCTTAAGCAAAAATTCACCACTTCAGAAACCCAATGGAGGGCTATCACGGGTTGGAACCTACTCCAAGACGGTGAGTCTGGTGTTTGTTATTGTTGTTAGGTGTCATTAAGGCAATTACGCCTTATTGTGCTTCTTTGAATAGCAAATTGTAACCTTACGCTATACTACATCATTTTAACAATCTCCATATTGCTCAAGCCTATTTTTGCAGTCACTGTACCAGTTAATTCTCTTAGACAGTCTTCTTGAATTTCCATACTATGTTTCACAGCATGATGTCTTTTTTCATGGAACAGCTACTCTTGACAATATGCTCAAAGTATATGAGATGAAGTCTTACCATTCATTTTAGACTAGTGGGTAACAGTAATGAAGAGTATTTAAATGAATAGGAATGTCAGAATACTTATTTGTATTCATACAGAACCTAAACATGAACAAATATGAATCAAGAAGCAATCATTGCAACAGAACAGGGGAGTGCTGTGTTATTTAAAATACAGAAATGTGTACATCAAGTTTGTATCATCACACCATAATAATTTAGCCTGTATTTTTGGTGTTGTTATGTACTGTTGAATCACCTGCAACACTTAGCAACCTGATGTAAACATCTTTGAACCCTTCCCTGTCCTGAGTCAATCTCATAATATCTCAAAAATCCAATTCCATTTCTTTAGTCACTAAGTCAATCCATCTCATCCTGGGTCTTTCCCTCCTGCACTGTCCCTCCACCCTTCCAGGCATGACATTCTTCTCCAAGGACTGGTCTCTCCTGGCTGGATGCCCAAAGAATGTGAGCTAGAGCTTGAAAATCCTTGCCTCCAGGAAGCAGCTTGATTTCACCCCCTCCAGAACTGATCTGTTTTTTCTCCTGGGAGTCCATAGTATGTTCAATACTTTTCTACAAAAACACATCTCAAAGCCATTGATTCTTCTTCTATCAGCTCTCTGACATGTAGCAAGTAATTGTGAAGGCCATGACCTGTATCGGGCACACTTTAGTCTCCAGATGGACGTTGTTGTTCTTCAGTACTCTAGAAAGGTCTCTGACAGCAGCTTTTCCCAATGCATTCATCTTTTGGTTTTCTGACTGCTGGTGCTAAGAGTGATGATTGTGGAACCAAGCAAGCTGAAGTTGTTTACAATCTCAACCTCTTCTCCATCTATCAGGAAACTGTCAGTTGGCCCAGTGGTGAGAATCTGTTTTCTTGATGTTGAGGTTTAATCCATATTTAAGACTACAGTCCTTGACCTTTGTAGCAAGCGCTTCAGGTCTTCTTCAGTTTCAGCAAGCAAGGTTGTATCATCTGCATATCACAAATTATTGATGAGTCTTCCTCCAAGCCTAATGCCACATTCCTCCTCATAAATCCCAGCCTCCTGAATGATCTGTTCTGCATATAGATTGAAAAGGTATGAAGATAAAATGCATCCTTGACACACACCTTTCCTGATCCTGAACCACCCAGTATTTCCCTGTTCTGTTCTAACTACTGCTTCCAGGTCCAAGTATAGATTTCACATGAGCACAATTAAGTGTTCTGAGATTCCCATTTGTTGTGACCCACATAGTCAAATGCCTTTGCATAGTCAATAAAACACAGATTAACATTTCTCTGATACTCTCTGCTTTTGGCCAAGATCCATCTAACATTCGCTATCTGTGATGTCCCTACTGCCACGGCCTCTTCTAAAATCAATTTGCACATCTAGCAGTTTTCTGTCAATGCACTGTTGGTTTTTTTTTTCTATAATTATATTTTATTAATTTTCATAAACATTTACAGAGATTTTGGGCTTCCACTCATTCATTGTTGCACTATTCTCTCT